TGATAGATGTTTGATAGGAAAGAGCACCCGCCAACCACCCACTTTATTTGTTTTAGTTTCGTAAAAGTTTTACAACACTCCCAATACAATTATGTCACATAATGTTATATAAGTGCTGAAGATTGGAGGTGTTACAAGAGGGTAACCCCCCCCCCCAAAAAAAAAGAGAGATAAGGATGGTAGATGTTTGATAGGAAAAAAGGAGCTCCGGCCTACCTGGAATTTTAGTGGATCGGGTTATAAAGCTCACCCTTTTTTTTTCTGCCGAGCAAACTAACAACAAATATTAGAAAGTCTGAACCATGTACCCACACACTTATCTATTCTCTAGTGATAAAGGTGGAGGAGAAAAAGAAAGTAGTATGAGGAGGGCGAGGAGGAAGAGGGTAAATAGAAAAAGTATGTAAATAAATATTATAAAAACCATGAGAGGCTCTCAAATCAATCACAGATGCCTCACATAGATCTTTTTAAGATTATTTTTTTTCGTTCCTGTTCCATTTACCCCCTTTCTCCCTGTCCTCCTGCTTTTCTTCGCCCTTCTTTATTATTTCATAAAACAGTGTGGCGGTGCTCATTTGACGTTAAGCTGTTAGGAAAGCTGTAAAACTCTCCTTGTATTTTAAAGAAACTGAACAAGGGGCAAAAACTTTACCTTCGATTTTCTCAAAGCAGCATTTTTCGGGATAGCCCCCATGTGCTTAAAAGCGACCAATTATAAAAGGAAGTGGGTTGGGTCACTCACAAAAAGCAAGCACCCCCTGATCATAACCAGTACATTGACTATCTATCCATGTATCTATCTCTGTTTCTATCTATCTATTTATCAATCATAAAACGAAGTGTGCTGGGTGACTCACAAAAAGCAGGCATCCCCTGATCTCCCGGAGCGTGGCCAGACATCCGAGGACGCCCATGAGCACCACCAGGCCCCCGATGCCCAGGAACAGGTAGGTGGTGATGGGGAACAGCGGGCTCTGGAGCAGGCTCACGTACTCGTGGCGCCACAGCAGGCTGCCCACGCCCACCAGCAGGAAGAACACGCCGCTGATCTGGGGGACAAACGAAGATGATGATAATAATAATAGTAATCGTAAAAATAATAATAATAATA